TAAACCCATCTTTTTTAAGAGTGTGTCGTGCTTTTATTGAATCGATTTTAACTTGGTGCAGTGGTTTGGAAACCTACCTTTAAGAACAGAAATTCTCAATCAGATTGTTAAATGGTCTAGTAGGCTGACAGGTGGGTCCCAACTCAACCAAGAGTCCCTACAGTCCCCCAGTGTCATTCAGACAGGACCCTGCGTCAGCCCTGTTGGACTAGAAACAAGTCTGTATGCTGAGAGAAGACGGCCCGTCAAATGTTGAAAAAGTTCAAACCGGCTCAACTTTTGGTGCAACAGATTGTGACATGGAGGCACGTCAACCAACAGAAATGTGGATGGGTGGGCACAGGCAGAAAAGGGGTAAAAATCCAGGATGGAGGTTAATCAGTAGCAACGCTGTGTCCTCTTTTCCTGTTCTCTACGAATTCTTTGCCTTCATGGCTGTTCTCCACTTGGCTCTGTATACAGCCATCGCCAACAATGGTGTTTCTGTTCCAAATGTTTTGGATTTCGAACCGTACAAACTCCACTCTGCTCCAGCCGTGCACAAACCCTTCTAGATGGACGAGATCTGCATGCATATGCATCTACCTTTCGTTGGCAACTGTGTGGGCACCCTCACTCATATGCCAAACACCAGCGACAGGCCTGAGTCCGATCTGGCCTGCAAAATAATTTATACTTTTTATTAATATTAACCAAGTACACAATGCGCTGCACTACAATCCCCGGCATGCACTGCAATGTAATGTGGCTTCCACCCCACCCAACATCTATGGGACAGCAGTTACACCTCAGTTCTACACACCGCAGTAACAATACCAAGCACACTGGCTGTGCTTCAGGTGCAGTTCAACCAATATATGCACCGGAAATGCAACAAACACTATGCACATTATAAACACTGCAAACACCATAAACACAATATACACGATAAACACTACAAACACCATGAACACAATATACACTACAAACACCATAAGCACTATCCACACTACAAACACTATAAACACTATCAACACTAAAACACCATAAGCACTATACACACTACAAACACCATAAACACTATATACACCACAGACACCATAAACACTACAAACGCCATAAACACAATATACACTACAAACACCATAAGCACTATACACACTACAAACACTATAAACACTATCTACACTACAAACACCATAAGCACTATACACACTACAAACACTATAAACACTATCTACACTACAAACACCATAAGCACTATACACACTACAAACACTATAAACACTATCTACACTACAAACACCATAAACACTATACACAGTACAAACACTATAAACACTATTTACACTACAAACACCATAAGCACTATACACACTACCAACACTATAAACACTATCTACACTACAGACACCAAAGACACTACAAGCACCACAAACACCATAAACACTACATACATCACAAACACCACCAACACCATAAATACCATAAACACTATACACACACAACAAACAAAATAAATACCATAAACACTATTAACAGTGAATACCACAAACACCATAAACACTATAAACACTATAAATACTACAAACACCATAAACACTATATACGTTACAAACACTGGAAACACTCGGCTCAGCAGCTCAGAAACTGATGCCCAGAATGAATGAACTTGTAGACCAAGAACACAGCCAGGTTGAATAGACCTGCGTCCTGGGGACATGTTTTTGAATATTTCAAGTGTTGTAATACTTCAAAAAAGTATTAGGAGCAGTGTAGTGGGGTAGCATCATCTCACAGCAAGAATGGTCTGGGTTTGATGTCCAGGGTCCTTTCTATGTGGGGTTTGCATGTTCTCCCTATCACTGTGTGGGTTTCCTCCCACAGTCCAAAGACATGCAGTCAGGCCAGTTGGAGACACTAAACTGGCCCCAGGTGTGAGTGTGTGTGTGTGTGTGTCTGCCCTGTGATGGGCTGGTGACCTGTCCAGGATGTTTCCTGCCTTCTGCCCATTGAGCACTGGGAAAGGCTCCAGCTCCCCCTGTGACCCAGGAGGATCAGCGGCTTAGATGATGATAATGAATGATAAAAAGTATGATCTCATTACTCATGTAATGTTTCACGGTCTACATGTTTTGGTCTATGGCCAGTTCAGGTTACAGTAAAACGTTGTTTAAAAGTGAATGAAACACTGAGGTGTCTCTGGCCCACAGATTTGTTGAGATTTTTCAATATGGCCCTTTCAGTGGTTGAGTTTGACCCCCTGCTCTAAGTCGTCTGTGGTTGCTCCGTGTCTCTGTGGTCAGTGTAGCTGCTGTGTGTCCACTGTGGGGTTAGTACGGGTGCAGTGACCGACCGGCTGCTGCAGAACCCAAAAATGCTTTTACAGCCAGACTTTTAGCGAGAAACAGAGTGAGAGCTGTTCACCATTAAAGGAAGCGTTAAACACGTACACACACACACACACACACACACACACACACCTTACGGCAGTGTTAAAAAGGTTTTCTCACCTCCCCTCCCTCCAGCTTTAACAGATTAAAACAGAGAACAGAGAGAGAGAGAGACATTTAGATAGAGAGATACAGAGTGAGAGAGAGAGAGAGGGACAGACAGAGAAAGACGACACATACACACAGAGATACAGATAGAGACAGAGAGAGACATTTAGATAGAGAGATACAGAGTGAGAGAGAAAAACAGAGAGAGAGAGAGACAAAAAGAGAGACAGAGAGATACAGATGGAGAGAGAGGTGGAGAGACAGAGTGAGATACAGAGAGAAAGATATAGATAAAGAGAGAAAGAGAATCAGAGAGAGGAAAGACTGAGAGAGATACAGATAGAGAGAGAGAAAGAGAAAGAAGGAAGCAGAAAAATGAAAATACAACTGCAATTCTTGGTTACAGTTGCATTTTCACTGTCAGTGAGGCTTCCTGTCAATCAAACACTGTGGGCGTGGCGTTGGGAGGGGCTTTTTAGAGCAGGCATGTTCTAAGAGGAAGTGATGTGTCTAAACTCTGGAGCAGAGATAGACGCTTGTTTAATATGACTCAGAGCAGCATTAGCAACCGATGCTAGTGCCATTTAACCCTCACTGCCCAGGCCGAGGAGAACCCTGTCCACAGTGGTTTCCGTGTGGACGAGGTTTTTGGCCGACTAGGAGAGCAGATGTGTAAATAAGGACAATCTTCTTAGATTAATCAGAAGAAACAGTTGTGTCAGATCAGGCAGAGTGCACTACGAAACAGCTGGGGTGTTTGGAAGGAGTTTCGAAGGAGTTTGGGGGGAGTTTGGGTGAGGTTTGGGGCAGTTTGGGGGAAGTTTGGGTGGGGTTTGGGGGAAGTTTAGAGGGAGTTTGGGGGAAGTTTAGAGGGAGTTTGGGTAGGGTTTGGGGGGAGTTTGGTCGAAGTTTGGGTGGGGCTTGGGGGAAGTTTGGGTGGGGTTTGGGGGAGGTTTGGGCAAAGTTTGGGGGGAGTTTGGGGTAAGTTTCGGTGGAGTTTGGGGGAAGTTTCGGTGGGGTTTGGGGGGAGTTTGGTCGAAGTTTGGGTGGGGCTTGGGGGAAGTTTGGGTGGGGTTTGGGGGAGGTTTGGGCAAGTTTGGGGGGAGTTTGGGGTAAGTTTCGGTGGAGTTTGGGGGAAGTTTCGGTGGGGTTTGGGGGAAGTATGGGTAGGGTTTGGGCCAAGTTTGGGTGGGGTTTGGGGGGAGTTTGGAGGAAGTTTGGAGGAAGGTTCGGTGGGGGTCTGAGAGATGTTTGTGCTGCTGGGTGGTTAATTACTGGTTGTGCTGTGTGTCTCAGTGATGCAGGTGTTGAGACCTTCATCCATACTGATAAACCATCATCATACAGAACTATTAATATGTTCAGATCTTACATATTTACAAGGATTCTGTTCTGATCTATATAAACCAAAGGCATTAATAGAGAAAGTAATAAGCTAAATATATACACAATCATCATTTATAGGGTACTTTCTATTGGGAGGAGTCTGTCACAAACCCTAACCCCCACATTTACACTTCTGAAAATAATACTTAAATGTTATTTTAAAGATATTTATGGTTTGTTTCAAAGTAAAGCTGAAATATTTAGATTTGTCATGAGTTTTATTATTAAATAAAAAATTTATTCAAAAAAAATGCTGTTCTACATTTTCATGTCAAAACCGAAAAACAAAAAGTTTTAGTCTGTATTATTTTAGCTACGCCCCTGCATTTTAGAGCAGGAAGTGAGGCTGCATCCCTGTCCCTCATGGCCACATGGTGAGCAGTTAGATTCCATTGTTTTGAAGTAAATGTGTCCCAAAGTCTGAAAGTCAGTGTGGAACATTAAGAATACTGTCACTACCGAAACACAGATTTTCTACATTTTTTAGTGTTTTAATGTAAAATATGATGATTTTCTGTGTGAACAGTTGTTCAAAGCTGTGTTTGCTGGTCATGTACTGGCTGAGTTTCTGAGCTCAAAATGAGCTAAAATTGTCACCACCGAAACAGTGAAACACTACTGGAGTGTTCAAACCTTAGTTTGAATAAAATAATCATAATTTAGGTATAGGGTCACTCAGAGCAAGTCCAAGATCAGTTAAAAGTCCCAAATGTGTTTCAGTTCTGACTCTGAACCAGTTCAGTAGAGTCATATGTGTTATGAATAAATGGTGGACCTTTTTGCCATATTTGAATGATACGCAAAATACAATGCAGATCACAAAATGCATTTGTTTTTTACTTTAAAAAGGTCTGGTTCCTGTCACCACCACTGTAAAAAACTGAGCCATTTCACGCCAAACCACTCTGAACCACTTTGTTTACATCTCACTCACTGAATCATGGGGGAATATTTTTCTTATATATATTCATGACTGCAGAAGACAACTGTGGACAGAAAAGGCATCTGAGTCACTTCCTGTGTGAAATAAGCTCTCTGGTGTAAAATCACTGTAACCCTCACCCACTCACAATAACTCTCTCTCTGTCTCTCTCTGTCTCTCTCTCTGTCTCTCTCTCTCTCTCTCCCTCCCAGTCTGTTCGCAGTACTCGCGGGGCGTGTTTGCGATTTTCGGCCTGTACGATAAGCGCTCCGTGCACACCCTGACCTCCTTCTGCAGCGCTCTGCACATCTCGCTGATCTCCCCCAGCTTCCCTGCCGAGGGGGAGACGCAGTTCGTCCTGCAGTTACGACCCAACCTGCGGGGGGCGCTCATCAGCATCCTGGACCATTACGACTGGAACCGCTTCGTCTTCCTCTACGACACCGACAGAGGTAAGACACCATCTCATATACATGTTATTGCTGGCAACAATGGTAATAGTAAGGAAACGGATATGGTGAGAACATTGTCTGTTGGTCCATTCATCATGAAACGTTCACACATTGTAAACAGCAGCTTTGGAACACACTATGGTGTTTAAATTTGAGGGCAGCTGTCTCAATACCTTGCTACCTGCGCTGTCTCATAAGTCAGTGCCTTAGAGGGCGATGTTGTCCACTGTGTTTTCTGCTATACACAGAGGATTGTGGGATATGTAAGGCAGGGATATATATCTAAACTGCCTTCAAAAAATGGCCAAACAGGGGGCTCTGTCATCAGGAGATCGCAAGTTCGATCCCTGGAGATGCCACAGCCATCCGTGGCCGGAAGTCCAAGAGAGTGCAGTCGGCCCCCCATCACCTCCCATGGTCACCTCCCATGGTCTAGCTGAAGTAACAGAACTGGTGGTTACCGTTCTCCGCCGAGCACATTCAGCTGTACAACGATGTTGCGACGAGCAGTTTAAAAAGACGCGGTGGAGCCTCACAGGTCTCAGAGGAAGCCTGTGTTTACCTTCACCCTCCTAGCACTGGTGGTATCATGTGATTGGAGGAGTACTAGCTAGTTTGTGGAATTGGATATGACTACATTGGAGAGAAAATTGGAAACAATGAAACAAAAAAACAAAACAGCCAAACGAAGGAACCTCTACAGACAGTGTTTTATAGAAACATCAGATTTGGAAATGACTAGCTGCTTTCCAGCGTTTGTTATGTTTCAGACACAGCGAGCATGTCTCCAAAAGTATCCAGACAGTCCTTCTACTGAGTGAGTTCAGCTACGTTAAGGTCACCACCTTACTGACTTTACTGACCCAAACTCCATAGAAAAGCTTTGACCAATGCAATGGGACTCTCTGGAGCAGCCGGACATGAGCCTAAAGAACCACTGCTCTCTTCTACAGCCCAGCCCAGCATACTGTATAATACTCTGCACTTTATTCATCTACCATCTTTATACATGAACTACCAAAATAATTACACAGCACTGTGGAGTTTGCACCACACACATACTCAGTCAATATCTAGAACCTTTTGGGCATTTCAGTACTCTCATGTTACCTAAAACATTTGTCTATGACTTTGGAGTTTGTTCCTCACTCTTAGCTAGTAATTACCTAGAACTTTATGTCTATTATCCATAATTGAAAAACAGGACAAAGTGTACAAAATGTGAGATAGTGGCAATTTTTAAAAATTATAGAAATAAACAGAGTTTCTTATTTGGGCAGGAGAACGAGGCAGCGGTGCTCTGAGGCTGATATCAGATGACCCAGCTAATAGAGATAAGCAGAGATGTTGTGATCTGTAGAGGGCAGGGCGAGTATGTGTGTGTTTGTGTGGGGGGCGGTTATGTCTCTCAGGTGAAGCAGGTACCGCTGGGTTTGTCTCGTGTGTGTGTGTGTGTGTGTGTGTTCCTCAGCTAGCTGTTTTCTTAATGACCAGTTTCTTCACAGGAAGCTGGCAGTAACACTGTGTTCAGCTGCAGGTATTGATCATCTACTTTAAGTGTGCATGTGTTACCAAGCCAATGTATAAGTAGGCTGCAGTGTGGAACCCTCAGAACCTTCTAGACAATCACAGAAGGCCTAATGATTTCTGTGAAAAGCATATCTGTAATTTTTAGCTAATTTTTATTGAGTAGAATCGTTGTGTGTAGCTGTGTCCCAATTCAGGGGCTGCATCCTTCAAAGATAAAACATATGGAATGACTTTTACAAGCTTCAAATGGCCACATTTGATCTAGAAAGGCCAAAAGACGTAGAGGTGCACCAGTGTTAACACTATTTGAAATCCCATAGGGGTTATGGTGCTGGAAATTAGCATGTTTATTGCAGGATCTCACAGGTGGCTTTTTTCTCATTTTGTACTGAGTTTTGAACATTTACAACCTGAACTGATGGCCTAACTGCCACAGTCACAGCTCACCATTGCACGGCTGTATATCTTGTAAGCAGAAAGCAGACCCGCTGTATCCAGCTGAGTTGAGCTTAATGGCTGTATCTAATGTTGGAGAATGACTGAGTGTTACAGTCGTACAAACTGAAAGCTTTAACAAGCTACACTAAGCACTCACACACACATTTTGTGCTCCAGGGTTTCATTTCTCCTCAGCAGGCTGAGGCTCCTGAGTTGAAGTGACCAGTTTCTCCCAGTTTCCCCTCTTTCCTAGAATGTAGTCGCTCAGCCAAGACATGTCATCTATGTAAATAGACAAACATAAGACACATGAGTAAAAGCTAGGTAGGAGCTACATTTTTCAGCTTTTATAGTTTTTCCCATTTTTTTATAGTTCTTCCCAGTTTACTCATGTCCAGGCTGTGGTCTTATCTGTGGTTCTTTATAAATAAAAAGTGGGACAGGAAAAACCTTGGTGTTGACAAAGACCTTTGAGAGAACCTTGGAGAGCAAGAAACAAATGGCTCCTTGACCAAATCAGTCTTCTTCTCTGACTCAAATCCCAGATAACCAAACTGAGGTTCTTATTTTGGACTGTATTACAAGAAGAACCAGTGCTTGGGAAAGACAGTTGTTCTTGGAGGAGTTGAAGGTAAAGGGGAAGAGGACGACCAGCAACATGAACAGACCATTAAGAAGCCTGAGGATCCAAGCAGAAGACAAGGCATTCTGTGATAACACTATTCATTGACAAGACAATTCCACTGGTTAGCTCGGGCTCCTCCTGTCACAAGATGCTATGAGATGTGTAAAGGTCCACTTTGAAACTGCTAATTGTTACGTCAGCTAAGATGCCCGAGTTGGCTAGCCTCGCACTAAGTGATGGGGAGAGCGAGGCACATCTCCTGGCCATGGATGGTTGTAGCATCTCATGGGATGGACTTGTAATCTCCCAATGATAGGGCCCTCCTTAGTCCATTTTGTAGAGATATCCATTGCCAAGAAATGGCGCAGACATTGCAGATCTGCCCCCCGCCAAGTTGCACCTATACCAACTGCCATTTTACTGTACAGGTGTCAACTGTATTGGTCCACACTTCATCAAAGTTGGACAGAGGATGGAGAAAGGATGGGGCATTTTATTCAAGTTCATGACCACTCAAGCCATGTACATAGTCCTTCTCACCAGTGTGAATACAGATTCCTTTGTGATTGCAATTTGCCAGCTCATTGCCTGGTGAGGCAAGCCATTTGAGCTCTTGTCAGACCAAGGCACAAACTTCAAGAGTGGAGGAAAGCTCAGGGACACCTTTGCATTTATTGCCCCAAAACTGAAGAGCCAGTTAGCAAGCCATCAAATCCTTATTCCATTTCAGTCCGCCTGTTACAAAGTGAGCACAGATCAGACACTCGCAGATAAAAAGAGAAAGTTTAAGTTTACTTGACTGCTTGAGACAGTTACAAAGAGTGTAGTCAGAACAGGCCACGGTCAGTACCAGAGAGGAGGATAACCGAAACAAGACAGACATCTAGAGAAAAACCCGAAATGGCAGATCATAAACACAAAAAACAGGTCATACACAAAAAGGCTTTTCAGGCAAAAGAACACTCAGTATGCAGCAAAAGGGGTTTGCAATGAACTGAACTAGAGCCCAGACTTTTATACTAACTAACGTAATGAAATGACAAACAGGTGCGAAGGATTCTGGTGAGGAGGAGCACTGGAATGAATGTTCATTGGTACATGGTGATGATAGGGGAGTCATGTGATCTCCCACTGACTCATGGGAGTTGGAGTCCTCTAGGCAGGTCATGGACTCAAGTGACTCTGCAGGAGAAAGGGAGTAGACAGAGGAGGCATCCTCAGAAGGAGGCGAGAAACTGCCCAATGCGCCACGTGTCATTGGTTGTTGGGAAAGGGAGATTTGCTACCTTAAGAAAGCACTACAAGTCGCTCTTGGTACACATTCTGTGACAGGAGGTGCTGCATACAGTGCCCATAAAAACAGAGAGAATTCTTAACTCTAAGCTGCGTATCCTCCGTTGTTGTTGACCCAGATACAGTGTCAGAAACTATATAAGCAACTCTATTTCAGACTACTTAACAACTCGACTAATTGGTGGGATGTAATCTTCTATTACTTGTTAGCTACATCATCCTCGTAGCTCCACTGTGAAAGTGTTTACTGATTAACTACATTTGGGTTGAGGGGAAAATTGGGTAAATTAGATTCTTTGCCAGGCTATCGCATTAAATACGCTGTTATATATCCCCTGCAGTTGCTCTCAAAAACTACCAGTGTCAGCATGTTGAAGAGCACTGGGACACTCGATTAAACACACACACAGATACTCGCACACATAAATGATAATGAGCATTCCCCAAACCTCTCTGCAACAATGTCGGAGTAAAGGGGCATCTCGTCTATAGCTGGATCGGTTTGTGTCGTTATGTGAAGCCTTTTCATCTTTTATAATGGCTGATGGAAGTGTGAACAGACACATGGAAATTGCCTGCTAGCTGTGTGATCTCTCTCTCTCTTTCTCTCTCTCTTTCTCTCTCTCTCTCTCTCTCCCTCTCGCCCTCTCTCACTCTCTCTCTCTCTCACACACAGACTCACTCTGGGCATCAGTGTTGAAGTCACAGCTGCCTCTCGTCTCCCTGGCTGTGTATCAGGGGACGATTGTTGTATACACACCACATGGCACTGCTGACAGAGCCAGGCTGTGTGTGTGTGTGTGTGTGTGTGTGTGCACGCATCCCTTTTTCCCAACCTTTCTAAACCTGCGGCCCACTTTGCAAAGGAAAGGCAAACAATCCCCTCTTCCCCAAACCCTCCCAAAGGAAATGCAGGCAAATGTGTTGGAGTCCTGGGAAATGGATGTTCGTAATTAAATTACATTTGATCCCCAATGCTTGTTGACATATTCCGCCTCCACACTCCGCTACACCCTCCACATTCCCTTCCTCATCTGCTGTGGAATTAGGAAGCCTCATGCACTGAGTCGGTGGGATACAAAACTGCCCTGAGATTTGTTTTCAGGAATAATTA